GAAATCACCAACATCCTCTGCACTAGCAAACCACCCAAAAGCAACTTATCCAAAGAAGAACAAACTGCACTACTTAACCTGAAAGAAGACACCAGCATAATAATCCTACCAGCAGACAAGGGCAACGCGACAGTGGTTATGAACACATCTGACTACCAAACCAAGTTAACCAACCTACTCCAAGACCCCACATACAAACCCCTAAAGACAGACCCCACCACCTACCTAGAAAAAACTACCAAATCCAAAATAAAAGCCTCCCCCATCAGTGAAGAAATCCAGCAAAGAATCATACCCAGAGAGAAATCATCCAGATGCCCTAAGCTTTATGGTCTCCCCAAGATACACAAAGAAGGAACCCCACTCAGACCAATAGTCAGCTCAATAGGCTCACCTCTACAAAACCTGGCCAAATTTCTCGCCAAACAACTACAACCCTATGCAGAATCCATCAACTCACACGTAAGAAACTCATTCCAGTTCATCGAGATCATAAAGAAACAAAACTTACAACCCAGCGACCTACTAGTAAGCTTCGATGTCATATCCCTCTTCACCCAAGTGCCAATAAAAGAAGCCTTGACAGCCATCCAAAACAAATACAACCCCCCCAAGCACATCCTAGATCTGACCAACCACTGCCTATCCAATACATACTTCACCTACAATGGACAAAAATACAAACAAATAGAAGGAGCACCCATGGGATCACCCCTCTCACCTGTCATCGCAAACCTCTACATGGAACACTTTGAAACACAAGCTCTAGAAAAATACGACCACAAACCCAAACTCTGGCTCAGATACGTAGATGACACCTTCATAATCTGGCCACATGGGAAAGAAAAACTGAACAACTTCCTCACACACCTCAACAGCCTACACCCCAAAATACAATTCACCATGGAAACAGAAGCCAACAATCAACTTCCCTTCCTAGATGTCTTGGTATACAAAAGATCCAATGGCTCCCTAGGACACACCATCTACCAGAAGAAAACACATACAAACCACTATTTACATGCACTCTCACACCACCACCCAGCACAGATCAATTCCGTAGCCGAGACACTCATCTCCAGAACAAAATGCTTAGCCGATGAACAACACCAAAAAAACGAACTACACACTCTCACCAATGTACTAACAGTCAATGGATTCCAAAGAAAGAAGATTACCCACCTAATCCAAAAAGAAACCCCAACCAAAATCCAAGACAGAGAACAAGAAAACGGCAAAGCCCTCCTCCCATATATAAAAGGCACTACAGACAAAATCAGCAAGATCCTCCAAAAACACAACATTAAAACAGCATTCTGCACAAACAGAAAAATATCCACCATCCTAAGAAACCCCAAAGACAAAATCGAATTAGAAAACCAAGGAGTATACAAAATCCCCTGCACTGCCTGCCCCACCACATACATTGGACAAACTAACAGAA